TTTTGCTCCCTGTTCGCAAAACCCATATCCTGAAGCTCAGACAATTCAGAAGAGTAATTCTCAGAGTCAAGATCATTGTTTGTTGATGGAAAACTACCAGGAAAAGGCGGAAGCCTTGTAGGTCGCTGTGACAAAGTGAAGGGTGTATTAAGAGGTTGGTGTGGTGGAGTGTTGCATAATTGATTCACGGTTACTCGTCGTGGTGGTGGTGGTGGTGGTGGTGATAAAACTATTGGAGCCGGTGGTGGTGGCGGCGGTGGCGATAAAATATTCATTGGTGGTAGTGGTGGCGGTGGCGGTAGTGTTGAATATACAGAAGAATAACGAGACGAGGATGGGCACGATCTAAATTGGAACAAGGGCGCATTGTTCGGAAAACTGCCTGGCATGTCAGAAGGATTATAAATACGATCTTGTTGTGGGTTGTCTTCATTTGATGAGCTGGAACCCGTATTTTGATTTTGATTCTTCACCGAATTTAGCATGTTCAAAGCGAACTCAACATACATTGGGGTATTCTCCAAGATCTGATGTATGTCAATAAATCGACGATTAATAAAAGGCATGGGAATTTAATGTAATTTGGATAAAAATATATCAAAATTCATGTGAAATAAATATTACATGGTTCATTGCCGAGTCCACCTTATCCAGCATCTCCGGATTGTCACCCAAAACCTTACAGCACTGTTGAATAATCTTTTCGATTTTTGTTGACAATTCCTCAATCGTCGAACTTTTGTGTTTATCTTGATCGGCTTGCTGTTCTTGTTGAACAATTGGTAGTTCACCGGAGGTCTTAGAAGCCGTTTCCAAAATTTTGACATGTCTCATCTCTTGATCATGCTCTTCAGGTAGCTCCGGTTGTTTTTGTGAAGGATGCAGCGAACCAGGAAAATCGTGAAATATCTCAACTTCAACACCCCCGTCTGATGAGATCACATTTTCAACCTCTTTTTCTTTTTGTTTGTCCTTTGGTTTGTCATTGGACTCACTTTGCAATTTAGGATTAATGTCTTCAGTATCCATGTCGACAAAATATGTCGCCACGACTTCTTCTTCGTCCCTTTCTGCTTCCTGCTGCACAAACACAGGTTCTTCACTGATAGTATCAAAAGAACTTGTGGAACTC